CCGGTCGCCAATGGCCCGGGCCGCCGGCGCTTCCCGCAGGCGCTCATCGTTGGGGTGAAGAAGGGCGGCACGCGCGCCCTCCTGGAGTTCCTGCGCCTGCACCCCGACGTCCGCGCGCTCGGCTCCGAGCCCCACTTCTTCGACAGGTGGTACGAGCGCGGACTCTCCTGGTACCGGTGAGCGCCCGCGCCCTTCCGCTCCCGCCGCTTCCTTGCGCGCCCGGCTCGTGCCTCCGGGGAAACGGCGGGGTGCGCCCCTGGGGGACCCCTGGGGGCGCGGCGGGGAGAGGTCTCGGGCGTCGCGGGTCTGCGACCAGCCTGGGTGGGTGTGTGGGTGGCGGCGAGGCTTCGTCACTGGCCCGAGCTCCAAGAAACTTTGAAAACTCCAGGGAAAGCCCTGGTTCGGGGCCGCTGAGGGGGGTCTCAGCAAGACTGGGGAAGGGGCTGCCATCCCAGGTGAGAAGTAGTTTCAAGCTAGTGGGGTTTGAGAGCGTTAGAATTTGTCAGGCTCAGTCACCCTCCCCCGCTGGCCAGTTACCCTAGGAAGGGGCTTCCAGGATCCCTGCCGTCTCCTAGAAAGTGTCTGCCTCCCAAGACTCCTGATCCTGGGAAGAGGAGTGCTCCATGGTCCTGAGGGTCTGGAGAAAGTCTAGGCTTTCGGAGGAAGGATGGTGCCTTTGAGTCAGTGCCCCAGGATGGAAATTAGGACCCCAGCTTCATGTCATGGGGCTCTACTCGACCAGGAATGGCCTTGGGGTACAGTGTGGAATGTGGAGGAGCACCTATCCCCGATGAAACAGCCTGTCCTGGGGGCCGTGGAATGCCAGCCCCTCCCTGCTGAGACTGGCACTGAAGGCAGAGTATGAAGACCTGCCTGCAGCCTCCGTCAGTTGCACACAAGCCTGCCACCTGCCCTGTCCCTTCCTATGGGGGGAAATGAGGGCTTATAAATGGAGAGTAAGTCACCCCACTCCCTGAAGCTCTCACCTCAGCCCCAGCTTGGGACCAGCCTCTGTGGGGCAGAGAGGACCCTGCCCAAGGTCCTGGTGAATTAGTGGGGAGTTGGGGATGGCAGGACCCAGACTCTTCATCTCCAAGTGCACCAGTTTTTCTGTTCCCAGATTCCTCACCTCCGCTCCCATTTGCTTTCTTTGCCTTTTGCCTTAAAAACCACTCATGGGTTTGGGAGAGCCCCAGTGAAAACAGGGGTTCTAGCTCCTGAGCTCGGAAGGGTTGCTGCTGTCAGGGGATCCTCAGGAAGTGGAATGATGGTGGGAGGGAGGTGAGTCCATCCTTGAATCCAACTGGCTGAATCCTGGCATCCTCAGAACTCAGAGACCGTGCTACTCACTCTGACAGTGCCACTGGCATCCCAAAGCATTTTCAATCCCTCACTGCTGGG